ATAAACTTCTCTTGGGATTCTTTTGTTTTTAAATCTTGGTATCCATTTATGTTTCCAAATTGCCAGCTTCACCAGTGCCAGTCCAGGATATATGAGGCAAAAAAAAAAAAAAAAAAAAAAAAAACAGAATTCATGACTGTCATTCCTGACTTGCCCGCTCTTTATCTTGCAGGGTAATTTTATATTTGTTTTATGTATAATGCCAGCATTGCTAACTGTACTTCATAGGAATAGAGAAAAGTCATCATCTCTAATTTTCAGGAAGTGGGAGTTGCCATTGCCCTAAAGGTTTTTAATTTGCTTCCAGACTCCTGAGATCTGTGTCACTGCTGAGTGGAAATTAACTATGTGCATTTTTTTTGGGCAGGCAGACGGAGCAGCGAGCGATGCATGGGTAACAGTGGAATCTGTAGATCCTCTTGCAAAAAGAATGAGCAGCCATACTTCTTTTGCAGAAATTATCAATCCTGCTGCCTCCAGTCCTATGTGAGGATAAGTGTTTCTGGACCAAAAGAAAGTAATGAGTGGTCCTACGAGAAACACTGGCCGGACATACCTTGAATGCTTTTGGTCACCATCCTCAAGTTCTCCGGGAGAGAGTCACCCCCCACCCTCATTAAAGCTTGTGCACTTGCCACCCTTGTCTGCCTTTTGTCTACTGGGAATCATCGTGAGAGATTGGCTTTTGCATCATGAGATGTCCCATTCTGGAGGCAGCAGTGTGAGAGAGGAAGTTGGAAAATTAGAATGACAACTGGAGAAGAGAAAGGCAAACCAGGGAAGAGGGGGAGAGGGCTCCTGTGAGCCCAGGAGGCAAAGGTTGATAGATTTAGGCCGAGCCAAGACTTAATCAGCGTGGCCTCCGGGGGCCATCAGAACAAGTGGGTTAGATAAATTTGGCTGAGATCCTGGAAGAACTTCTCAACCCGTAGAGCCATCGCAGTGTGGAAAAAGCTGTACTTTACAGGTTTCAAGTTGCAAGACTGGGGAATCTGTTTGTGGTTAATTTCAAAAGAATTTGAATATATTACATGCTGTTGTTGATGACCATTGTTTTTAAGGTCCTTTAATTCCTGAAAGTCTAGGAGGTTTGTGCAACCAACACCAGCTTTTTAACATAAAATTCTAATTTTATTTTGTTATGTCTCACTTCCCACCACTACCATCTATCTTTCTCCATCGTTAGTTTCACATTTTGTCAAAAGGAGAGTAGCTCGGCTTGCCATTCTGTTTCTCTGCTTCGCTGACTCCCCTCAGCTGCGTATGATTTGCTTTTTGCTGACTGTTTTACGGAGCTGGCTTTGGTCAAGGTCACCAGGGAGTCTGTGTTCTGAAAGTTGCCGGATGTTGCCCAGCTTGTATCTCACTCTGCCTCTGGCTGGCATTTCCACCGTATTTCATTCCCTTCTAGAACCCCTCAGCTTGCCTGGCTTCTGTGACTTCACTCTCTTTGTTCTCCTCCTTTTAAAGGGGCTCATTACCACTGGGTGATCTATCCTTTTCTGTCTTCTGTCCCATTGCATTCCTTTGGGATTACTCTGCTTTTCTGAAACTAAAAGCTCATTAGAAAAAGGCTGATGGTTCTGTAGCCAGAACACCACATACACGTGAGAGGACTTCACAATGTTCATGGAAAAATGGAATTAAAATGCTGATTTTGGTGCAAAAATTTCTGAAATTCATGCATAGTTTTTCCATAATAGGCATTTTCAATGAACTGTTTCACAATTATTTATTTATTTATTTATTTATATTTGAGAGGGAGACAGAGATAGGGACAGAGAGAAACAGACAGACAAACTGAGAGGGCTCCCATCCACTGATCCACTCCCCAAATGCCCACAGCAGCCCAAACTGGGCCAGGTTGAAGACGGGAGACGGAAATTCAGTTTGGATCTCCCGTGTGTGTGGCAGGAACCCAAGCGCTTGGGCCATCCCTGCTGCCTCCCAAGGCTGCGTTAGCAGTAAGCTGGGTCGGGAGCGGGAGCTGGGAGTCCAGAATGGATGCAGGTGACCCAAAGAGTCTTCACCAGTAAGCCAATGCCCGCCCCGCTCGTGACCACTGTGAAGGCCGCCTGTGCTTTGAAATGTTTTCCGCTTTTCTCATGAATGACACTTTGCTTGAGTGAACACACTTCCGGAAGCAGGTTGTCAATGTCAGCATTATGCTTTGAAAGGACTTGCCAATCGGCCCTAGATTCTCTCCGTGTGTGCACTTCCAAGTTGTCTTCGAGCTGTCCCCATGTTTGTTACCAACACAACCCCTCCCCCGAGTCGTCGCCCCCAGGGCTGCGTAGTTCAATGCTTCGCTCTGCTTGAGGAGCCTGTGTCTGCCCCGCCAGGCTCTCTGGTACTTGTGGAAACAGCCATTTCAGTGTTTGGATTTAGACCCTGGGCAATGGTTTCATCTTTTTTTCTTTTTTTTTTTTCTCTCTTCTTTTCTGTGATGCCACAGCAAGGCTTATGATCTGGAGAAAGGTGCTAGTTCTGGACTTCCGTTTTGGGAAGAATATTGTTCCAAGAACCTGTGCTGACCCTCTCGCTGAAAACAACTACAAAATCCTTAGTTAAAATATCCAACAAAACTTTCTAAGCATGCTTGACCTGGCCAGAAAGCCAGGCCAAATGAAAGCAGGCACTCTTCTGAAGCAGTGGAGACTGGCTTTTGTCTTTTATTTTTTTATTTTTATTCTTTGACAGGCAGAGTGGACAGAGAGAGAGACAGAGAGAAAGGTCTTCCTTTGCCGTTGGTTCACCCTCCAATGGCCGCCGTGGCCGGCGCACCGCGCTGATCCGATGGCAGAAGCCAGGTGCTTATCCTGGTCTCCCATGGGGTGCAGGGCCCAAGCACTTGGGCCATCCTCCACTGCACTCCCTGGCCACAGCAGAGAGCTGGCCTGGAAGAGGGGCAACCGAGGCAGAATCCGGCGCCCCAACCAGGACTAGAACCCGGTGTGCCAGCGCTGCAAGGCGGAGGATTAGCCTCATGAGCCGTGGCGCCGGCCTGGCTTTTGTCTTGAAGGCATTTGCTGCAACAGGTGCACCAGTTCAGTGGGGGCACTTTTGTCCAGGGAAGGAGATGGTTCCCAGGGTCTGAGAGGCTCGAGTCCTGCAGGAAAGCCCCACACAAATCTCAGTCCTGAAGCGCTACCTGTGCTGTGCAAAGATAAACCAGCTACGGGGCTCCTTGCTCATCACCACGACTGTCAAGAGCAACTCCCTGGTGTTGAACTTGGTGCTCAGTGTACCACATCAGGCTGGCTTCCACGTAGCCTTGCAGCTTGAGCTCACAGCGTGTGAGTGAGCCGAAGGAGACTCAAGCTGAGGAGTCAGCTTAACGTTGTCCTGGGCTTGCAGGGCCGCAGCGGTCTCCCGGAAGCAAATCAAAGAACAGACATGAGCACAGGACTCAGGGAATGTGCTCAGCCGAAGCTGTAAAGAAAATGCCCAGGTCAGAGCCCCAAACCACAAAACGCCCAAAGCCGCAGGTGCCCGAGTCACCAGCAGAAATCACAGACCAGGGAGCTGGGCTTTCAGAGACTTCAGATTTCAGAATTACGGGTACTAACAGATTTGAAAAAAATGCACCCATGAGACCTCAATTTCCCATTATGAGCTGGGAATTCTCTCACCCCTGGCATGCTAGGAGGGTACTTCAAAAAGTTTATGGGAAATGAAATTAAAAGGTACGTTAATTTTGGTGCAAAAAGCTTTTTGAAATCCACGCAGACTTTTTGTAACGCAGGTTTTCTACAGTTTGAAGATCCCTCATAAAACTGCGCCAGGGAGGAAGCGTTCGGTCGTTTCGTGGAAATGAAATGTCCCAAGCTGGGACGTAGCAGGTGCCTGTGGTGTCCCTTCCTGCCCTGCTGCCTGTCTGTCATCATACACTGATGATGTCATGAGGAATCTGTTAGTTAGCAGAAGGTGAGGAAGCGAGGCGCTGTTTGTGGTGTGACTGTGTGACATGCTGGCATGAGCCCAAGGGCTGCACTCTAGCCGGAATCACAGGTGGCCCTGAAAGGCAGCGTCTAGAAGAAATCTCTTGGGGCCAGCGCAGCAGGTTGAGCTCCCATCTGCAGTACTGGCATCCCTGATGGACACCGGTTCGTGTCCCGGCTGCTCCACTTCCCATCCAGCTCCCTGCTAATGCACCTGGGAAAGCAGTAGAAGATGGCCCAAGTGCTTGGGCCCCTGCACCCACTTGGAGGACCCTGGGGAAGCTCCTGGCTCCTGACTTAGGCCTGGCTCTGCCCCTGACTGTTGCGGCCATCTGGATAGTGAATCAGTGGATGGAAGATTCTCTCTCTCTCTCTCTCTCTCTCTCTTCTCTCTCAAGTCTACCTTTCAAATAATAAATGAAACTTAAAAAATAAAAAGAAATCTTTCCCATCGAGTAGGGGTGGTTAAGGCATCACCTGCAGCAATCCTGGAGAGAGGCAGGGGGTGGCCGGCCGTGTGAGGACCTGGAAAGAGCCAGCTTAGATCTGTAGTGCTGAGGCCCAGCGTAGCCAGGGGGACAGACAACTCGGAAAGGGGCCAGGATGTGAAGCCACTTTTGTGCTACCAGCAAGGGGAAAAATAAAGCTCTAAATCATGGCCTGAAAGAATTACCTAACCGTTCACCCACAGTGTGAGGGTCCCCACCTTTGAATGTCCAGGGGTGATCAAAGCTTGGTAAAGGAAATAGGCCGAGGGGCCGATCTTCCAGCAACTTTTATTCCAACCTTGAACAGGTGGGGGTATTAAGAGAGTCCTCAGAGCTCACAGCTAGGTCAATTTCCTGTAGTGATCGATAAGACAGGGCTTCAGGGCCAAGTTTAATTAGCAGGAAAGTGGATGTTTTCTCTGAGGTGTCTGATGTTCTATAAATACAGCTCTCAGTGTCCTAGTAATTATTGTCATAAATGTAAGCGCTTTTAAAAAATATACTTTACTTGCGAGGCAGAGAGACAGAGAGCTGGGGCGGGGGGAGGGCGTGGGGGGCGTGAGCTCACGCATCTGCTGTTCGTTGCCCAAATGCCTGCAACAGCTGGGGTTGGGCCAGGCCAAAGCCAGGAGCCTGGAACTCAATGTTGGTCTCTCATGTGGGTGGCAGGAACCTAAGTATTTGAGCCATCACTGCCGCCTCCCAGGGTTTGCATTATCAGGAAGCTGGAGTTGGGAGCAGGAGCTGGAGCCTGCAGCTGGAACTGGGCATTGAAACTAGGTCCTCTCATATGGGTTGCAGGTGTCTTAATCAGCATCTAAACCAGAACCAAGTGACCTCCCTGGATTTATGAGTTTTGATTTTGACCGCTTGTGCTGCTATCAGGAGTTAGGCCTGAGGCTAGTGCTGTAGTGTAGTGGGTACAGCTGCTGCCTGCCATGCCTGCATCCCATATGGATGCTGGTTCAGATCCCAGCTGCTCTGCTTCCAATCCAGCTCCCTGCTAATGTACCTGGGAAAGCAGCGGAAGATGGCCCAGGTGCATGAGCCCCTGCCAGCCATGCGGGAGACCCATGACCTGTGGTCTGGCTTTGCCTTGACCTTTGTGGCCATCTGGGAGGTGAACCAGCAGATGGCAGATCTCTCTCTCTCTCTCTCTCTCTCTTCTTTCTGTAACTCTGCCTTTCAAATAAATGAATCTTAAAAAAAAAAAAAAAAAAGGCAGGCCTAACATAAGGGATGTCTCTGTTATCCCAAAATCACTTGTTGGCAAGTCAAAAGGACCCATGGCTCATCAGTGTTGGAATGCTTAACAGTGATTAAGGCTGCAGAGGTCACCAGCAAACAAGGGACATTAAAAATGAATGAACAGGGCCAGCGCTGTGGTGTAACTGTGGTGCTGGCATCCCATATGGGCTCCAGTTTGAGTCCTGCCTGGTCCACTTCTGGTCTAGCTCCCTGCTAATGGCCTGGGAAAGCAGCAGAGGATGGCCCAAGTGCTTGGGACCCTGCACCTACCTGGGAAACCCACAAGAAGCTCCTGGCTCTCTGTTTCTCTACACCTCCTCCCTTGCCCCATAACTCTGCCTTTCAAATAAATAAATAAATCTTTTAAAAAAATCAGTTAACACTTGTCATGGGAAGAATTAGATATTTCAAAAAGAACACAGAAGAGTTTGTCATTGGAAACAGGGAAAATTTTAGACTTCCGTATGCAGAATATTTAAAAAATATTTTTATTAATATAAAGAGAACAGACTACATGTAGTTCATTGATTCAATTCTAAGAATACAGGGATACTTTCCTCCCTTCCCCTTCCTTTCACTTTTTAAAATTTTCACAATAACATATTTTTGATCTGCTTTCTAGTTGTGTAGCTGTTTGTATCTAGAACTACACATCGGTGGGCACGGGGAGGGGCTCTCGTTGCTTTACTGGATTTAGCGCATCGCGCTGTGGACATGGGTGAGTCACAGCCGGGAGGAAGTCACGAGCTTTGATAGAGACTTTGGATTTCATCCTCTTCGTTCATGTTGTCCACGTCCAGGTAGTCCGTAGTGGGAATTAAATCCATTGCAATGAAATTTACAAAATCTGAGGATGCAGCAAAGCGGTTAGGGCTACTCGTCTTAGTGACTCGCTCATGGAAGGCTTCTTGCTCATAGTCTTTGTTGCCCGGGACACAGCAGGTGCGATGATTTTTACATATTTCTTGTGCTACTTCTCCATCTTTGCAGTGTTTCCTGCAGCGTCCTGATTTGTTCCAGCATTTTTTTCCACCACCATAGGCTAAATAATAAAAGGGAAGGCCACTGATTTTAGGTTGCTAATGCTCTCAATCTTGCTAGCATGACTGCACATCTGGTATCGCCAACAACACTGGGTTTGATTAGATCATTGATCATGGCTAGACCACGGCCCTAAGACTTGCAGCTCAGGCCTGGCAGATACTATGTTTCTCAAAATATCTGTTCCTGACTTCTCAATCTGCCCATTTTAAATTTTTCCAAAAGTGAGATGGAGATGTATCTTATCATCCATCAGAAGTAACTTGCCAGCCACAAGGAATTGGAGCCACTTGCAATGAAGCTCCTTGGATTTGTGTAAAATTATCCACATCAAGAAAGTCCAAATCATTGTTCCTGTGATTTATTTGCATTGTTAAATATCTCTGAAGACACTGAACTGCAAACTATGTATTAGAATGTGCATATGCGATACATCTGTGTAGTTTAAAGACTAATAGCAACGTGAGCTCTTACATACCCGCACTCCTACTAGGACAGAAAGTATACCTAGAACCTTCTATAGTGTAGTTACTCCTATGTGATTGGTCCTCTTTGCTTGGGCATTAGACCAGTGCTTCTTAAGCTTTAAGGTCCACAGGGATCATGCAGAGGTGTTGTTAAAGGGCAGAGACTGACACTTGGTGCAGCAGGGTTTCTGCTTTCCTAGCTGTGATGCCACAGCTGGCCCGTGGGCTTCACCTTCTGGAAATCAGGTAAAAAGCCATAAACATCTGTTCTATCACACTCTATGTTTCCCAATCAAATGCAATGATCCCTTCTATTAAAAACATGATAAATATTAAAACTTAGATAAGAAGGGTAGTCATGAAATCAGAAATGATGAAGTCAGGCTTCTAGAAAGACTTAGGGGAAGAAAGAGGATATTAAAACGAAACAAAATTTTAGTGAAAATGGCAAAATAAAAAGAGGGATGGTACATCAAACAGAACAAGAGAATTTTCAACAATTGGACACTAATCAAGTTAAAACCTAGATGAAATGGAAAAACTCCTAAAAAATTTCTAGGGATAGCTTAGGAAGAAAATAGAAGCTTGGATAAATCAATAAGCATTAAGAAACAGATAATAGTGAAAGACCCCTTCTCCTCAAAGCCTCAAAAAAAGTGATTTTTTTTTAATTTTGGAAAAATGTACCCAATGTCAAATTTACCTTTGAGCCATTTTTAACTTTGTACGTCAGTGGCATTCAATCCACTCATGTGCCACCAACACCACCATTCATTCACAGACTTTGTTCCTCTTGCAAAACTGACCTTCTGTAGCCACCAAACAGTAATTCCTTTTCTCCATGCCCTAGCCCTTGGCAACCACTATGCTGCTTTCTGTTTCTGCAAATATGACTATATGAATTATTTAATATGAGTAGAATATACATATTTCCTTTTGTGGTTAGCTTATTTCATCTTGTCTTCAGGGTTCACGTACATTGTAGCATGTGTCAGCTTCCTTCACTCTGAAGACTGAATAACAGTTCATGTTGCTAGCCATTCCTCTACCAATGGACTTTTGGGTTTCTGCTGCCTTTTATTTATTGTGAAAAATGCTTCCATTCTAGATGATTCTAAAGGTGAGCTCTACAATTTTGCAGGATATTTAAGTAATGTTTTAAAATGTCCCAGGGTCGGCGCCGCGGCTCACTAGGCTAATCCTCCGCCTGTGGCGCCGGCACACCGGGTTCTAGTCCTGGTCGGGGTGCCGGATCCTGTCCCAGTTGCTCCTCTTCCAGGCCAGCTCTCTGTTGTGGCCCGGGAGTGCAGTGGAGGATGGCCCAAGTGCTTGGGCCCTGCACCCCATGGGAGACCAGGAGAAGCACCTGGCTCCTGGCTTCGGATCTGCAGCAGCCTTGGAGGGTGAACCAATGGAAAAGGAAGACCTTTCTGTCTCTCTCTCTCACTGTCCACTCTGCCTGTCAAAAAAAAAAAAAAAAAAAAAAAAAAGTGTGAGGTGACAGTTGTAAAAATACACTAAACTTCCTGCTCTCATAGAGAGTTCAGTCAAGAAACGAGAAATATGACAGTCGGAGAAGAAAGTAAGGCGCATTTTATGTTAGGTACAGGTCGATACAGATGATAAGCATCATGGAAAGAATTGCAGCAGGCCAGCAGGACAGAAAGTGCGTAGTCAGCAGGGAAGTGGTAGAAGATCTTTCTTAGAAGGAAGTGAGAGAATGAGCCCTGAGACTAACTGGGGGAAGGGTGTATCGGGCAAAGGACGTAGCAAGTGCAAAGGCCCAGCGGCAGGATCTACTTCCAAGTTTCTAAAGAACAATAGGGTGACTATGATGGGTGTAGAGTAAGTTAGTTGGAGGGTAACAGGAGAGAGTACCATGGGGGTTTAGATCACACAGCAAGTGAATGAAAGCCACAACCATACATTTTGATTGCAGAATAATGACAGGAATGTAGATTAAAACAATGTGTGTGATTTATGCTCATGAAACCGATAAGAATAATGCTAAGTATTGGAGGAATATGATGATAGAAAAATCTTTGTGCACTATTGGTGAGAGTAAATGAGATTTTTTTTGTCTACATAAATGTCACTGACTTTTATTCTTCTTCCTTACATATAGGGGCTGCCAAAAAAAAAAAAAAAAAAAAGACAAAAAGATTTTTCATTGTCTTAACTCTTCCCTCTAGGAGGATGGCTCTAAATTTGCATTGCCTACCAGAACATTAAGACTTGAAACCGGGGCGGTGCTGTGGTGTGGTTGGTTAAACCTCTGCCTGTGGAGCCAGCATCCCATATGGGCACTAATTCGAGTTCTGGCTGCTCCATTTCCAATCCAGCTCCCTGCTTATGGCCATTTGGGAGTGAACCAGTGGATGGAAGACCCAGTGGATGGAAGGCCTCTTTCTCTGTCTCTCCCTCTCCTTGTCTGTAACTCTTCCTCTCAAATAAATAAATAACCCTTTAAAAAGAAAAAGACCTGAAATCCCCAAACATGTAACAGTTCATTCGCTCAACACAGGCTCTGAGTTTCTATGACCATGGATTGCTTTTACAAAACATGTCTCATTTGTGTTTCCTGGTCTTAATGTTCCCACCAGAACTCAAGGCAGGCACAAGAGATCCCACATGGATCCCACAGAATTGTCCTGATTGTATCTGGAATTGCAACAGGAGAATTACTGAAGATCTTGAAAACCGGCAGTTCCTGCTGGCGGTGTCCTGAGAAATATAGAAGGGAGGAATTAATGGAATAATTTGTTTGAACTTACCTTTAACCCAGCCATTGACTTCTAGGGCTCTACCCTATCTAAATCTCTGTCCGACTGTGGAAGTACTCCTTTACTTATACATATGTGCACTGATGCCAAACAGGATGTGTTCCAAATGGCTATCCATATAGTTATGGCTTTTCCTAAGCAAAACATCACACACTGGCAAAGGAGGAGGCTAGTCTTTGGATGGCTACGTGCAAAATATTATTAGGTGAAAAAGGATGCTGTATAAACGTGCACATAATGTGGTTACTTTTGTAGAAACAGAAATAGTGAGATTTATTTTTATGTGAGTTTGGTTAGACATTGAAATATATCTTGAAAGATACACAAGAAAGTAGGGAAACAAGTTCTCTTCAGCAGCAATTTCCAAGCCGTGGTAACGACTTTCAACGTTTTTGAAGCAGCAGGGGTTGTTAAAGCTCGCGCTTTCACAGTAGAAAGTCCTGTTGATTTTCCCCATAACAGCTCTGCAGAAACTGTCTGAGTTGTTCATCAAATTCCAAAATATGAGAAAACAAAACAGAAAAAGACCTCTCTTGAGGCTGTAACAGGATTTTCAGAGCCAGGAACACATAAGGAAGTGGGACTGGGGAGTCATTGTTAAGAGCTGGCCTGTGCTGGAGAGAGAGCAGATGTGGGTTCTCCCTAATTCCTGAGGTGGGCGACTTGGAGCACACAATCAGAGTGGACCGCTCTGGACATTGAGCTGCCCTGACCCGTTGAGGGTAAGGTGTCCTCCCCTAAGTTCCCCTCCTGCCAGCAGCACAGCACCAGTACAGCTGTTGCGCTGCCCCAGCTGGGGGTCCAGGGACACCCTGGAATTCCCATGCCTAGAGCTCATTGTACCTCCGTTTGTGCAGCCTCCCTGGGTTCTGATTACCTGGGATCACCTGGGGTAGAAACGCAAGGACAGGAAGGGCTAGCAGCAAGAGTCGCATGATCCTTGGGAAGTAGGAGCCCGCGGACCTAGGAGTTCCGAATGTTGTGTGCAGTGCGCATCCTCACAACAGTTTTATTGGCCTCTTGGCAGCGGGGGATGGGCAGAGGGCCGGGCAATGAACCAGGCAGACATATTAAAGTTTATCCATTAACTTTGCTTCATTTTTAAAATAATAAACCCTTTTTTTCTCCAAGTGAATTTTTTTAAAGCTTATCCAAGTGAAACATTAGTCTGTTGGCTGGTGCAGCAGTTGAGTGACTGATGCAGGCACCGGGAAGCAGGCAGAGGGTTGTAAGTCGCAGGCTTCAAGGAGGCGTTTGGAGAAATGGAGAAGGAAGAGACACACAGGCCTCTTCCCTGTCTACCTTGTACCTCCCAGCGGGCTCTGTCCCTGCCCACAGCCCCCCTCACTCTGGCCTAAATCTGCTTTTGAACTGTTTACCTCTGTGTCTCGCTGCACTGGACTGGGGGATTCCTGAGAGTAGGGATGATGTCTTTTCAGTTTTTGAACCTCCGAGGTGCAAAGCACATTCCCAGTGAAGGATTTCAGAAATAGCGGATAATAAGCCGGCGCCGCGGCTCACTGGGCTAATCCTCTGCCTGCAGTGCTGGCACACCGGGTTCTAGTCCCAGTCGGGGTGCCGGATTCTGTCCTGGTTGCTCCTCTTCCAGGCCAGCTCTCTGTTGTGGCCTGGGAGTGCAGTGGAGGATGGCCCAAGTGCTTGGGCCCTGCACCTGCATGGGAGACCAGGAGGAGGCACCTGGCTCCTGGCTTCGGATCAGTGCAGGGCGCCGGCCGTAGCGGCCATTTGGTGGGTGAACCAACGGAAGGAAGACCTTTCTCTCTGTCTCTCTCTCACTGTCTAACTCTGCCTGTCCAAAAAAAAAAAAAAAAAAAGAAAAGAAAGAAAAGAAATAGCGTGCCAGATCTCTCCCTCACATCACATGCCCACCAGGGAAAGCGGCTTGTCTGAGAAAGTAGAGCCAACGTCTGCAGAGTGTGGGGGCGATGCCTTGTTACAGGACTCACGGGATTGTGCTACCCAGTGTCCTGAAGAACCGCACCCTGTGCCAGGCGGCTCTCCAGTAACCGCGGATGTTGTGTTTGGCAGGGAACCGTGGGAGCCCTCGGAGGTCAGAGAGAATGCCATTTAGGTCTGCCTTTGGGATGGAGAACTCCCCAGAGGCCTTGGGAGTCCGCGTGGTCCCCTTGGCTTTTGTTGCGTTTTTCACCCTGCATCAGTGTGTGTTCCCGCGTGTTTACTGGGTCCCGGGAGTCCTGAGAAAGCTGCAGAGGAGGGGGTCGGTCTTCCTCTTCTGGAGCTGTTCTTCTGTGTGAGAGTGATCTGGAGCAACGAGCAGGACTGTCATATGGCGATGGGCTTGTTCTCTTCTGGATGGCACCATTTAAGTGTCTAGGAAGGTGACGGGCTTTTTACAGATGAATTTTAGATGAAAATATTCGAACAAGCAGAACTCTGTTACCATGGGATGGCTGAGTGTGTACTGAAAGAGGGCAATTATGAATTATCAACTATTGTCTTTTTTTTTAAGATTTATTTGTTTACTTGAAAGAGTTACACAGAGAAAGAAGGAGAGGGAGAGGGAGAGGGAGAGGGAGAGGGAGAGGGAGAGGGAGAGGGAGAGAGAGAGCCTTTTTGGGGCCAGCACTGTGGCACAGTGGGTTAAAGCCCTGGCCTGAAGCACCGGCATCCCATTTGGGCGCCGGTTGTAGTCCCGGCTGCTCCACTTCCAATCCAGCTCTCTGCTGTGGCCTGGGAAAGCAGTAGAAAATGGCCCAAGTCCTTGGACCCCTGCACCCGCATGGGAGACTCGGAAGAAGCTCCTGGCTCCTGGCTTCGGATGGGCGCAGTTCCGGCCGTTGTGACCATTTGGGGAGTGACCCATTGGATGGAAGACCTCTCTCTCTGTCTCTACCTCTCTCTCTGTCTTTCAAATAAATAAAATAATTCTTTAAAAAAAAGAAAAAAGAAATGTCTTTTCAGATTCCTGTCTAGTCTAAAATCATGTTATTTGTTTTCTTTCTATGGAGTTGTTTGAGTTCCTCATCTATTTTGGATATTAACCCCTTATCAGCTGTGTGGCTTGCAGATGTCATCTCCCAACATAGGGAGACAACATCAGGGGTCGCCTCACTCTGTTCATTGCGTTCTTTGTTGGGAACAAGGTTTTTATTTTGATATAATTCCATGATTCTATTTTTGAAATAATTTTATTTTGATAAAATTCCATCAGTCTATTTTTTCTTTTGTTGCCTACTCTTTTGGGATCAAATAAAAAACTGTTTCTCAGATCAGTATCTTTTGTTTTCTTCTAGTAGTTTTATAGTTTCAGGTCTTCTCTTTAAGTGTTTAGGAGAGTGGTGAGATAGTAACAAACGGGATGAACTTCTCCGAGTGTCTTCTCTTTTATAAAGAAAACTCTTAATGTTGTGATAGCTGTTGGTCACAAAAATAAAATAAAATTCAATACTTGGATTGAACCAGGAGGCAAAATTTTTTAAAGATTTATTTATTTATTTGAAAGTCAGAGTTACACAGAGAGAGAGGCAGAGAGAGAGAGAGAGAGGTCTTCCATCTGATGGTTCAATCCCCCAATTGGCCGCAATGACCAGAGCTGTGCCAATTTGAAGCCAGGAGCTTCTTCTGGGTCTCCCACACGGGTGCAGGGGCCCAAGGACTTGGGCCATCTTGGGCCATCTTACTTTCCCAGGCCATAGCAGAGAGCTGGATCGGAAGTGGAGCAGCTGGGTCTCAAACCGGCGCCCATATGGGATGCCAGCACTGCAGGCAGCAGCTTTACCTGCTACCCCACAGCGCCGGCCCCGAGGCAAATATTCAATACTTGGGATTTCCCTGAGGCTTCTCAAACTCTTGCTTTGGAAACGAAGAGGTCCAAACAGAGAGGATAACACCTCAACTTTAGGATTAGGTACGGGTGGGGAGGGGACGCCAGGGCACTTTTAGGGCTCGGGACACTTTGACATGGTCATGCAAACCTATGAGAACAGAGATGAGTGACAGCAGACAGGAGGCCAGAGGCTTCAGTGGACTAAAGTGGGCAGGGAGACCGAAGTCGACAGCAACTGGTCTTCTACATTGTTGTCGTTAATACTGAGCACTACTGGGAAATTCTTGACATTTTTCATATTATCATGAAAAGACTGCGCTTTCCTGGTGGGTGCCGGGGGCGCTCCGTGCGGCTGGGGATCTGCCTTGCTTGGCGTGCAGCAGTAGTTGCCGTTTTTACACGGCTGTTTCACGTGTTCCCCGGACTTGCAGTTCTTTCTGCAGTGGCCTTTTATGACCCAGCAAGATTTTCGGCCCCTGCAGACTGAAAAAGAAAGGCGATGAACTTGAGGTATTGATGCCTGCACTCATCGCTAGGGCCACTGTATCTGCAACCTTGAAAACACCCCTGTGTACATTAAGGGAAATAATGTAGGCAAGGCAGGGGCTGGTCTACTCTGGATTGCTAAATATCCTGCCATCAGTGCCGAAGGAACTTGCTGGGCCGCGGAAATGGGATGTTTGGCCAGAAGTTGTGTGAGTATGTGAAATTAGTTGTGCAAAGTAGTGATTCCATTAAATTTCAAGATTATTTGCTTTTGCCATACCACAAGCATAGGAGTATCAACTAAAACTGAGTCCTCGTTATCACTTAAAACGTCTTAAAAATGATTCCTAGGCCGACGCCGCGGCTCACTAGGCTAATCCTCCGCCTTGCGGCGCTGGCACACCAGGTTCTAGTCCTGGTTGGGGCGCCGGATTCTGTCCCGGTTGCCCCTCTTCCAGGCCAGCTCTCTGCTGTGGCCCGGGAGTGCAGTGGAGGATGGCCCAAGTGCTTGGGCCCTGCACCCCATGGGAGACCAGGAGAAGTACCTGGCTCCTGCCACCGGATCAGCGTGGTGTGCCGGCCGCAGTGGCCATTGGAGGGTGAACCAACGGCAAAAGGAAGACCTTTCTCTCTGTCTCTCTCTCTCTCTCTCACTGTCCACTCTGCCTGTAAAAAATATATATATATATTACAACATTTTAATTGATATATATAGTAACTATGCATATTTAGGGGGAACAGTGTGACAAAAATGTGTGCTTCTAATAGGTCCCTGTGTGACCCGATGCTCCTGGCTGGGGCAACCACGCTGAGACCCTTCCCACTATAAGTGAGACGTGTAACATTGTTGGAAGCATGTGTGCTATTTATTGAACTCTTTACTTACTGTAGGGTTAATCTTGTGAGTATAAAGTAAACTGAAAATAGGTCTTTATAAAAGTTAAGAGTAGGGGAGCCGGTGCTGTGGCACAGCAGGTTAAAGGCCTGGCCTGAAGCGCCAGCATCCCATATGGGCTGCGGTTTGAGGCCTGGCTGCTCCACTTCTGGTCCGGCTCTCTGCTATGGTCTGGGAAAGCAGTACAAGATGGATCAAGTCCTTGGGCCCCTGGAGGAGGCTCCTGGCTCCTGGCTTTGGATCAGCGCAGCTCCAGCCATTGAGGCCAATTGGGGAGTGAACCAGTGGATGGAAGACTTCTCTCTCTCTCTCTCTCTCTCTCTCTCTCTCTCTCTCTCTCTCCTTCTCTCCGTGTAACTCTGACTTTCAAACAAATAAATAAATCTTTAAAAAAATAAAAGAGTGGGAAGAGGAGAGAGAGGAGGAAGAAGGGTGGGAGTGTGGGTGGGCAGGAGGGTAGGGTAGGAAGAATCACTCATTCCTAAATCTTTATGTATGGAATTTGTATACCTTAAATCAAATTTAAAAAATAAAAAGAATGCCCATAGGGTAATGAACTCTCAAGTGGCAGCAATCAATCTTTTTAAAGAACTTGAGGATGAAACATGCCACATGTCAGTGGAAATATTTTTCCTTTTATTGTTGAGAAACGCTTGTGTAAAGCCTGTTGGTCACTTCACAGACTGGACTAAGTCTCAAGGTGTAGGTAAGGGCAATGGACAATTTTTTACTTTTAGAGGTACCTCCTCTTAGGTACAAAGCAATCATCTTTCAAAATGTGCCTGTTAATTATTAAGTGCATCCAAGCAGATTTTCTCATGAGACATACTTTGATGAAGAAAAAATGAAATAAATAACTTGGGAAATGCACCTGATACATCATCCATTTCATCAGGTCTTGGTGTCATGTCATTCATTGAAAAATTTTCCAAAGGGTCATAAATAGAGTTTAAAAAATGCATTTTTGGAACTTAACCCAGTGTTTAACTAACAATGGCTTAAATGTACAACTCGGGGCCGGCGCTGTGGCTCACTTGGCTAATCCTCTGCCTGCGGTGCTAGCATCCCATATGGGCGCTGGGTTCTAGTCTGGGTTGCTCCTCTTCCAGTCCAGCTCTCTGCTATGGCCCGGGAAGGCACATTTGCAGGAAACTGGAATTGGAAGCAGAGCCAGGACTCCAATCCAGGCACTGCACTGGGGGACGTTGGTGCCCTGAGTGTTTTCTTGACTGCTGTGCCAAATGCCTGCCACTGGATGGTCTTACTCAGTGACGCTTTGTTTGTGGTCTAAAACGTGGGTGATTTTTGTAAGTTCTGTGTGTTTTTACTCAAAAGACTGCTTATTATCTGTTGAATATAGAAATATCCTCTGATACATATATATTCAATGGTTTAATCTTTTTATTTTTTCAATGTACATTTATTTCAGTTTTGTCATATTTACTATTTCAGATAGATGAATAAGGGTTCCCTGGGCTGATTTAAAATTTACTCATTTTATTCTGATGTTTTAAGAAATCTTGTAGTGCCTTTGTCCATGATAATCTATTTCTATTTATTTTTGAAACTTCTCAATAATCATACCTCACCTCTTAACAAGGCAAGAACTTTAGCAGGCTCCTGTGTTCCTTGGTCTTCTCTCCACGGAGCCCAGATCATTCCCTCCTTAACCATGTTGATTATGACTTAGGG